TCGGGCAGGGGCAGGGAGGCGCCGTGGGCGTGGAGGGAAGCAAAGGTGAAGGCGTCTGCCGGGGGGGGCGCCGCCGCCGCCGCTGAGGCCGCGGAACAGCGGCATGACGCCCACCGGCGCAGACACGGCCTGCGGCAGCGCCGCCGCGGCTGCGCCCGCCAGCCCGCTGCCGCCGCCCTTCTCCTCCGAGACGGTGGTGGCGCTGTTGCTGTTGCTGCGCTCGGGCTGCTGCGGGGCAGGCAAGGAAGGCAGGCAGGCGGGGCGGCCGGTCGGCATGCGGCAGCCCAGGTGGCGCAACGCGCAGGCCCTACCTCCAACAACCAACGCGGCATGCGGCCAGCCAGGGAAAGCTGCCGGGGCGAGGCAGCGGGCGCCGGCACCCACCTCGTGCTTGCCGCCGCCGCGGCGCAGCGCGGCGCTGCGGGAGCGCTTGGGGCGCGGGGCCGCGGCGTCCCCGGGCGTTGCACCCTGCACTGCCGCCCCGGCCGCCTCCTCGGCGCTCCACCCCTCCCAGTCGGCGGGCAGGCACGCCTCCATCGGGATGCGTGCGGCGCCGGTGGGCACATCGTTGTTGGCCAGCACGCTGCGGGGCAGAGGATGGTGGCGGCAGGCAAGATGGCATGACAGTGAGAGCATGGCAGGAGAGGGCATGGCAGGTGGGGAGAAGCGACCAGGGGAGAAGCAGCCATGGGTAGCAGCCAACCAGGGGGCTTCCAGCAGGGGCTGCGGGGCGAGCGCCCCAGCGAGGGCTCACCGCACGGGCGGGCTGACGGCTGTGGTGATGAGGCGGGAGCCGGCTGCGTCGTAGATGCCGGCCACGAGGCGGAAGGCGGGGGCGTCCACGTGCGTGCACGCCTCATCCAGAGAGACGTACATGTAGCGCGGGTCCTGCGGGAGGGCAGGGGTGGGGCGGGGTCGGCCACGGCCTGCGCGCCGAGCGGGACCGGCAGGCAGGCAGGCAGGCGGGCAGGCAGGCAGGCCTCCCAGGGTACCAGGCAGGCCGCTACCCCAGCACACCAGCACACACACAGGCAGGCAGGCAGGCAGGCAGGCAGGCCTCCCCGGGTTGCAGGCAGGCCGCTGGAGGTCCCCCAGCACACACACACACACGCACACACGCGCACGCGCTGCCACACGCGGCTGACCTTCATGGCGGTGGAGGTGGTGGTGGCGGTGCTGCCGGGGCTGTCGTCGCTCCACGACCGCTTGCCCAGCCGGCCAAAGCGCTGCAGCGAGCGCAGCACATTGCCGGCGCAGCCCTTGCAGCAGTCCTTGCGGGTCACCAGATTCCTGCGGGGGGGGGGGGGACCAGGCGCAAGGTCAGGGCGCAGGTGTGCTGCGCAGCGGCGCGCAGGTGCACGCTGGGCAGCGCCGCTCCAGGCGGGGCGGCAGCACGCGGGCACGCACCACAGGTAGCGGCCGCCATCGCCGGCTGCGCTTTTGCCCTGCTCCTGCTGCTCCTGCTGCTGCTCCGCGGCCTGCGGCTGCTCCTGCGGCTGCTGGTCAAACACGATGTAGAGGTGCGCCTGCAGCTTGTGCCCAGACTCCAGCTGCACGTGGAAGCAGACGGCAGAGTCCTGCAGGCACGGGCGCGCGGCGGCGGCGGCAGTGAGCCTTGCCAGGCGGGGCCCGGTGGCAGGCAGAGAATCGCTGGGCCGCAGGCAGGCTGCGAGGGCACACTCTGCTTATGTGCCCCAACGAAGGGCGGCAACGCTTGTGCGCCTGTTCGGCCGCGCCCCGGCCTGCGGGCGGCTGGCCGCCCCCCAGCCTCCCCGCGGCCTCTGCCAGCAGCGCCCAGCGGCGGCGGCTCGCCTGGCTGGGGTCTGGGAACTGCACATCGGCCGCGTGCGCCGTCTGCTTCACCGCCGCCCGCCGGCTGCCGTCGGCGTGCGCCAGCCGCAGCTCCACCTGGTTGTAGCTCCACCGCTTCTTGCCCAGCTTGTATGCCCTGCATACAGGCGCTGGAGGTGCTTGTTTGGCGTGAATAGCGAAGAAACTACAGGACCAAGACCCCCTTACGCTGCGTATTTGCCACGACAGGGCTCCGCCCAGGGGGCCTCCCCGGCCCCAGCACGACCCCCACTGGTCATGTCACCCCAGCCAGGAGCAGCCTGGGGGCGGGCCCAGCGTTTGGTGCCGAGGCGGGGCCTTCAGTCACTTTCCCAGTGGTCGCACCTGATCTCGGGGGCCTGCTCCCCCGGGTGGGCATCCTCGAAGACGGAATGCGGCAGGTGGGTCTTCACTGGGCACGCCGCCGTGCCCAGCTGCTTGAGCATGCCCGCCGTGGTTTGGGTGTTCGCTCCTGGCGAGGCGAGGCCACTGTGTGATGGTGTCACCACCGTCCCGAGGAGAGAGGGAGCACAGTCTGGGTCTCGGTCTCTCTCTGGCGTCATGAGGCCGTCCGCCTCACCCTCGCCAGCCTGGCACGGTCCTGCTGTTGTGATTATCAAATCGCAGGAGAGGCAGGAATTCCGGGACCTTGTAGGCTGGAGACACGGACCCTGCGGGAGGCTGGGGCCTGAATGGGTAAAACCTGAAGCGCAGGGTTTTTCACCATGCCCCACAGGCTCCTGCGCTCAGGCCAAGGGCGAGCACTCCTGCAGCCGACACAGAAGCGCTTGGGAAAGGGGCCAGGGCGACGGGGCGGCAGCTGGTGTTTGGCCGGTAGCCACCGCCGCCGCCGCTGCTGGGCGCGACGGGCACACAGTTAATCACAACTTGCGATTCACAAGCGCGGCTGCAGATGCCATTTCTATCAACATGGCAGGAAGTGGGTCCACAGCATCGAACCAGCATTCTCTCTAACATCATCCCCTTTTCATGCATCCTTCCTTCCCACCGCGCGTCGTGCTGCCGTTTGTCGGGTCTCTTGTGCCAGGGCCTCTGTTGAATTGCGCAACTGCTACCTGACTCCTTACTGCTTTCTTGCACAACATGCACTTCTGCCATTGCCTGCGGGCTCATGCGGCCTGCCGCCGCCCTGTCACCTCCGCCCTGCCTTGCTGTCGCGGCCGCCGCTTCCTCTGCCCAACCCAGGCCAGCAACCCGGCTGGCGCTGATTGGTTCAGCTTGCAATGATGCGCATGGGTAACCTAAACTCATTAATGCGCGTGGCCTTCTGCAGCAGGTCTCTCTTCTCTTGACGAGCGTACCTGTTGCTTGCGAGAGGAAAGAGTACTTGTGCGCGATCAGTAAAGTCCAAATCGGCCGCTTCCATATGAATTGTGGACACTTTGATCACAACAGAGCGCCCGCAGGAGGTGGATGGGTGATCGGCCCTGTGGCGGCGCCAGCTGTGAGGTACACTTGGTTCAGTCACATAGATAGGGCCATGGCTGAACTGAACAATCCATAGGACATCATTAGCGTCAAGGGCCCTAGGAATGCAGCCCTGAGGGATCTCGAAGGGAGCGCACCACCGAGAGGGCACAGGCGGGATGCGCGTGGGGTGCGCCAGCGGGGCACAGGATTGCAGGCAATGCGCTAGTTTGCGCTAGTGTTGTGGTGTGGACAAACAAGCAATCAGGGAGTGGACTGCCAGGCTAAGGAATTCATTAAAGGAAGGCAAGCGGGCCGGAGGCCAAGAAATGACAATGTACAGGGCCGCACCACGGCCCGGATGGTGGGCTGAACAGATGGCTGGAACCGAGACGAGCGAGAGAAGCGGAGAAGCTGGGAAGGCGGGTGTCGTCTAAGGGCGCCGCCGGCTGCCAAAGCGGCGCTCCCGCTGCGCGTAGTCCTCCAGCGCCTGGAACAGCTCCTTCTCCCCAAAGTCAGGCCACATCACATCAGAAAAGTACAGCTCTGCAGCAGCATGCGCGCGGCGGCACGCCAAGCCGCCGCCGTCAGCCGGGCGGCAGCCAGGACCTGGCAGCAGCTGCCGTGCCCCGCTGACCGCCTACACATAAGCCCAGCCAGCCGTCACACGAGCACTGCAGCGCAGGGGCGCCCCTTGGGCACCCACCCGAGTAGGCGCACTCCCAGGTGAGGAAGTTGGAGAGGCGGCGCTCGCCGCTGGTGCGGATGAGCAGGTCCGGGTGGCGCCAGGCGTGCGGCAGCTGGCGCGTGGCCAGGTGCTGCTCGATGAGCGCGGGGGTGACGTCGGCGGGGCGCAGCTCCCCGCCAGCCGCCAGCCGGGCAATCTCCTGCACCGCAAGCGTCACGTCCTGGCGCCCGCTGTAGCTCACCGCCACGGTGAGGTGCAGGTCGCTGTTGTCGCCGGTCGCCAGCTCGGCGCTGCAGCAGCAGGCAGCAGTGCGATTTGTGGCAGCTGGGGTCGGCGCATCGCCTCCGGGCATCGCGGCACAGCACGGGCCTCCGGTCCTGCGCCTTGTGCCCAGTTCGGCCCTCACCAGCAGCACGACCACCATTCCCTCATCCCTTGCCCTGGCTCACGCCTGGCCATCACACCCGCCGCATGCCTGCCACACCCAGCCGACACTCTCGTGCCAACCAGCGCCCACCAAGCCCCCCACCCACCTGCGCATCTGTCGCTGCAGGCTCTGCGGCAGCATGCCCAGCTCCCCGATGAAGCGCAGCCGCACGCCCTGCGCAGCCAGCTCCGCCACCTCAGCCGCCAGCGTGCGCTCCATCAGCGCCAGCAGGGCATCCACCTCGGCAGCCGGCCGCGCCCAGTTCTCGGCGCTGAAGGCATACACCTGGAGGTGGACGGGAGGCGACGGCGCGGGCACGTGTGGTTAGGCTGACCTTGCGGCAGCAACACGGCAGCAAGCGAAAGGGGCACAGGGGGAGGCGCCCTCGCACGACACTAGCACAGCACACATGCAGCCAATCTAGCAGATTTCTGCGCAGGCGCAGCTGGCAGGCTGGCTGACTGGGGCCCTGGCTCACCGTCAGGCAGGGCACGCGCCAGCTGTGGCAGCACCGCACAACAGACCGCAGCGCCTCGACGCCCTGCTGGTAGCCAAAGGCGGCTGGGCGCTTGCGGGCGGCCGCCCAGCGGCTGTTCCCATCCTGCATCCCCAGCGCGTGACGTCGTGAGGTGGTGCATTTAGGTGCGTGCTCCTCAGAATAGCCCGTTAACCCACGGGAACAAAATGAGCCTGCAGCCACCCACCATGATGACCGCCAGATGGCTGGGCAGCAGCTCTGGCGGCGGCACGGTAGCCTGGGGCTGCGTGGCTCGCTGCGCTGCACTGCCATTGCTGCTTCCTGTGAAGATCGTGGTGCCCGCCTGCAGGCTGCTGCCTACCCTGCCGCTGCTGGCGCAGCCGCCGCCACCAGCATCGGCCGCCGTCGCTGCTGGTGCCACCTGCTGCAAGGCTCTGCGGGGCCTGATCGCTGCTCCCTGTGTTCGCCTGCTCCTCCTACCAGCTGCGGCAGACGGGGCCCGAGCTGGGGCAGGCGGACAGGGTGCAAACTGCGGATGGGCAGCGCAGGATGACGCTTGCGCCGCGCCCATCGACAAGACGGGAGTCATCGTGGCAATGGCCAGGGGCGCGGGCCTCAGTGAGCATAAAATGGTGCCTTTTCCACAAAAGAAAACTCAGCTGCATGGGTTTTCCTGTGTTTGCCGGCCCGATTCGGCCGCTGGTTGTTGGAGCGGTCGGGTTGGTCTGCGGCTGTGGAAAGGTGAAACGCCACTGCCTGTTCGCCACCGCGACCCCCGCACTCATCCCCAGCCATTGCGCTGCACCGGGACTCCCAATTGGCCCGCTGCACCGAAAACAGATCATCGTAAGGTGCGGAGGGCATCCGAGTACAAGGTGGCCTGAGCATAGCTTGTGTGTTGCGAGCCGGGCCATCGGGCGCACTGGCAGGCTTGCTGGCTAGTCAGAGGAAGGGCCGCCCCGGGAATGACCAGGCAGCAGCGGCAGAGCCCCCCGAATTGCCAGCATCCACCTCGCCAGACGCCGCTCACGCCGCTGCCGCAGCCTGCCGCCTCCTGCCGCAGCCAAGCACCGTAGGGCAGGCAGGCAGCCATGACGAAGATCATTGACAAGCTGAATGGGAAGATTGCGGAGGGCAAATCCTTCTTCAGCTTTGAGTACTTCCCACCCAAGACTGACGAGGGCGTGCACAACCTCAAGGAGCGGCAGATGCGCATGGCGGCGCTGGGCCCCTGCTTCTGTGACATCACCTGGGGCGCAGGCGGCTCCACCGCGGAGGTCACGCTGGACGTGGCGCGCAGCATGCAGCAGGAGGTGCGTGCCCATGGGGTGCTGGGCAGCACCCGCAGCCAGGCTGCCAGCACCGCCGGTGGCCACCTCTACGCATCCTCCACTGCCACCACACGAGCTCGTCCCCTGCCCGGCTGCCAGCAGCACACTGTGCCCATCGCCGCTGCCTCATCTGCACCAGCTGCATGCGTCAATGGGAAGAGCATGTGCACAACCCTGGGCTTCTTCTCTAGTGGCAGCCATGCGATGGCCATGTGCACGTGTGTGCGCGTGTGTAATGCGCAGGTGGGCGTGGAGACCATGATGCACCTCACCTGCACCAACATGCCTGTGGAGAAGCTGAAGGAGGCGCTGACCAAGGTGAGCGGCGGCGGCGGCATGATGGAGCGAAGGACGGCGGCCTGCCTGATTGCCCCGCCGCCGCCGCCTGCACCCTCCCTGCTGCATGCCTCCCGTACCGTGCTGTACCGTACCGCAATGTACCGCAGGCCAAGGAGTATGGCATCACCAACATCCTGGCGCTGCGCGGCGACCCTCCCAAGGGCCAGGACCACTTTGAAGTGGTGGAGGGAGGCTTCTCCTGCGCACTCGACCTCGTCAAGTACATCCGGTGGGTTTGGGGGCGTCTGCGCTGGGGCTGGGCTGGGCTCCGGGCTCGCCTGGCCTGGGATGGGCCGGGGCACGCCTGCTGGGCTGCTGCCGCGGCGTGGACAGCATGGTGGCACCGAAAACACACACCGTGCCACACACTCGACCCCCCACCAACCTTCCTTGCACCCTGCCTCCCCCCCGCAGCGCCGAGCACGGCGACTTCTTCGGCATCGGCGTGAGCGGCTACCCCGAGGCGCACCCCGACGTGATTGTAGAGGATGAGAGGCAGATGAGGAAGAACTACTGGGCGGACATCGAGTACCTGAAGCAGAAGGTGCGTGTGCGTGTGTGGGTGTTGGTGAGTGTGTGGGTGTTGAGTGTGGGTGGGTGCGTGTGCGTGTGGGTGGGTGGGTGTCTATGGCGGCATGCGCCTGGCCTGTGTGTTTTGCAGCGTGGAAGGTGGCGGCAGATGCACGGGGGGTGGGTCTTTCGCGGCATGCGCCTGCCCGGCTGCCTCTCGCAGCTCCCGGACGGCTGCCGCTGCCGGCTGGCCTGCCGGCTGACGCGCCGTGGTGCGCCGCGCGCCGCGCCGGCTGCAGATGGAGGCGGGCGCGGACTTTGTGGTCACGCAGCTGTTCTACGACTGCGACCGCTACCTGCAGTTTGTCAAGGACTGCCGGTGAGCGGGCGGGCACGCGCGGCAGCGGCGGCGCGGCGGCAGCGCTGGAGGGGCCCTCAGCTGCGGCTGCGGGCTGGGGGCGCCCCTGGGCGCCACACGAGGAAGCAAGCAGGAAGAGTGCAGGATTCGCCTGTGCCCGACTTGCGCTGCCCTGCACCCAACCTCCTCCGGCGCAGGTCTGTGGGCATCACCGCCCCCATCCTGCCCGGCGTGATGCCCATCATGACCTACGGCGGCTTCAAGCGCATGACCTCCTTCTGCAAGACGGCCGTGCCGCAGCACATTGCCGACACGCTGGAGACCATCAAGGGCAGCGACGAGGCGGTCAAGGCGCGGGGGAGGGGGCGGGGCGGGGCCGGCTGCTGTGCTTGTGTCGAGAGAGGGACTGGAGGGGCGCTGCCGGCTTGAGAAAGAGCAAAAAAGCGACGCCTGCTGCCCGACCCCTGCACCGCAGGCGTACGGGATCAGCCTGGGCACCATGATGTGCCAGCGGCTGCTCGCCAGCGGCGCGCCCGGGGTGCACATGTACACGCTCAACCTGGAGCGGTCGGCGGGTGAGGCCCTTGGCTGGCGCCGTGCTGCGCCGGTTCCTGGGTGCGGGCAAGCCCCTTTTTTGCAGTTACAGGGCTGGCGTGCAGCGAGCAGGGAAGCAAGCTGCCGCTGACAGCCGTCACCCCTCCCTGGCCCCTGCCCGCCGCCCCCTGCAGTCGCCATCCTGGAAAACGTGGGCCTCATCCCCAAGCAGCCCAAGGCGGCCCCAGCCACTGATGGCTTGCAGCAGGCGGCCAAGGCTCTTGCCACAGCATGACAGCCACCGCCACCTGGCCTGCACGTGTTCTGCCTCTGCGGTGACGAAGTGCTTCCTACCTGGCAGCACGAAGCCGCAGGGCTTCGCCCCCCCCCCCCC